TTGGCCTAGCTGCACAGACAAATACTTGCTATTTATATGATTACACATATACTGGAGTTGTTTTACTCTTTCCAGATAATTCTTTTTCTCCTTTACCAAGATAAAAAATAGATCATCTCTAAAAGAGCACACACCTTATTAATGAAGGAATGTTACTTAAATAAAATTATTCTTCCGGGCTTGTAACATTTTTAATTGCTCTTGGGGAAAACCAGACTTGCAAAATAAAAGCACATTTATCACTGCTGAATTCTTCCCTTTTACAAGGATAAACTTGTCACTGATGAGTAGGAGGGCTGCTGGTTAATTAGCACAACTACTGTCTCTCAGTTTTGGGTATGACAGGAAAGTGGGTGTAAACAGTATGAAGAGGGAATGAAGATAATTCTCAAGAGAGCTCAGTGGGTTCTTTATTTAAATTTATCTGACAGTAGCTTGATTACCGGGCAGTATTAATACCCAACCAGGTTTCCTGTCTCCCACTCTGGGCTGGTCCAAGGTATGTTGTTGCTTAAGGCACAGCCAGCTAAACTCATCTACCCCTTAAGTTAAAATCTGCAGTACACAGGGCCTCCGGCATCTGAAGCAGAAACTCCGGCATCTGAAGCAGAGAGACCTTGTTATTTCAGTAGTAAAAATACAACAATATAAATTAAACAACTAACACTATGCAGCCCGTTCATGAAAATCTAAATTCTTAGCATACCTACTTCCAGTGCAAAAATACTGAAGGACAAACTATACCTTATGTAATGTAATCCAATACCTGCTGCTTCACTTCAAAGGACAAGGAGTCCTCAAATTATAGCAGTTCGTTTAGTGAAATTATAGCAGCTCGTTTAGTGAGCATAAGGTATAGTTCGAAGTTAAAATGGCACTGAGAAAAGTGACTTATGACTGTTTCCTCATACTTACGACTGTTGCAGCCTCCTCATGGTCACATGATCAAAATTCAGATGATTGGCAGCTGACTCATATTTCTGGTTGCAGTGTCCCAGATCACCTCTTGCGACCTTCTGATAAGCACAGTAATGGGGAAGTCAGAGTCACATAACAACCATGTTACTAACTTAAAACTGCAACTATTCACTTAACAACTGTGGCAAGTAAGATTGTAAAATGGAGACAATTCACTTTAAAATGTCTCACTTAGCAACAAAAATTTTGGACTCAATTGTGGTTGTAACTCGAGGGCTACCTGTGTCCTGTTAGATGGGGTGATGTGCAAACACAAAACCTGCTAAGGGAACGGTTGGGAGGACTTTTCAAATCAACCAAGTGAAAGAATAAAGTAAAACACTCTATTGCAAGTCAGTCTCTCTCAATCTAGAGTATTTTGCCTACAGCAGTAGCCACTGGCTAGTATTGTGTATAGCTTGAAGTCAATGACTATGTAGAGATTATAAGATTGAAGGAGAGTTAAGGGAAAAGTGAAACTAAGAGGGTGAAGTATATTCTTCTCTCATCATTTCTGCACTGCAATCTTTTTTTCTCTCCTTAAGATGGCTTTTTCCTGAGCAGGCATTAGTGATTAATTGTTCTAATTGAATATTGTTTTAATCACTCTTTGTTTCCTCAGTTTGATGCTCCTCGAAGAGGAATGTAAAATAAAATAAATTGCAATAATAATGTTGCTGCTGTGTAAAAATTATTTAATATTGAATGCATTTAATAATAACCAAAAAGATTTTCATTTAGCAATATTTTTGGTGGCTGAAGGTGACTTTTTTTTCTTTTTAAAGAGCATGGCCAGATTTAGCAGGAAGGACATATAAATCAAATAGGATACTTTCACACATGTAGATTAGGAGGAGGAGGATTTTTTTTTTACAGATATGTTTTATCAGGGCTACTGAAGAAAAATGGATTTTCTTCACCAATTCCATTCCTCCACAACTCCAGTTCCAACTTGATTGAAGAAAGTCCTGTTACTTTTCTGATTTGAGGCAGATGTCAGTTTGGAGAAAGTTGTTTTGTTAGGGGGGGGAGACACTAGGCTGGCAATATTTTCTTGCTTATACACATGGAAAAGAGATGCTTCTCCAATTTGTTATCCTAATGTTGTTTCTCCCTCAGTATATACTAATTACCCGCTTATGACTTGTTTTTGATGGTATTTTTGTAGATGACCGACATTTGTATATATCAGTTTATCTGTATTAAGACTCTCGCTTCTGGAAGCATTTTCAAAGCTATAGAACCTGTTCTGCAACATTTTCCGCATCTTCACCTTTAGTGGGGGTGGACAGAGATCTTTAACCAGGAAATTAAGGTTTGTCCTTATTTGCCTTTCCATTGACCATGATAGCACATCATCAGGCATTTTTAAGGCATTTTTAATTGAAGGCCAGATCATCTACACGATTGTTTATGATCATAACACAAGGTTTTTTATTTTAAAATATGCTGTTATGTATAGCTGTGCAAATGCAGATGCATTTATTGACTTAAAAAAAGATACCTGAAACAACCCACACGACTTCCACTTCTCCCACAATTTCAACTCTTGTGGCTTGCAGCATGTGCTTTTGCTATAAACACAAGTGATAAAACATATGTGACCTTTCAAATTGTTTCTGCTGCTAATACAGCACTACGTACTGGTATATGATACTATATGATATGATACTGGATTGTATTATACATGCAGGTAATACAGTAGTATATTAATGAACGTACCTATCAAATAATTTTATATGAACAAAGACTGACAGAGCAAGGCTAAAAAATAAAGGGAGTGTCAGTTGTGATTCTATTGCAAGAATGATAAACCGTTCTTCCATAACCTATGCCGTGTGTCAAATATGACATTTTTAGAATATTTTTTTTAATGTAAAGCTTTGCTTTTTTTAAATAAAGACCTATTTATCTGCACTATGAGTCTGGATCCAAAGTGAGATGTCTTATGGTGTGCTGTTTGTTCAATTTCTAGTGCAGTTATGCTCAATAATTAGGTTTTTCCCAACACATGCAATGACATTTTAGGATACAGCATTCACTAAAACCCTACAGCTATTCTCAAAAGCATGTCCCATTCTCATACATTTTTGGAGGCTACTGAGGCAAAGGAAGAATGTTCTTGTGTGGTCTCCAGATTCACCAGAAGTTACACAAGAGGGCATTGCACGAGAATAGGGCATGTTTTCATGCAATTGTCAGAGTCTGCAGAGGCCATAGCATTCTCTAAAGCTGCTTCTAGAACAAAGGCCTCATGTGACCTGGATAAGCCACATGGGTGTGCCAACAAAAAGACAACACTGCCTAGAGAGAAACAGATTGTGGGGGGCACTGGGCCACAGGATCAATTATATCTTGGGGAACAGTCTTTTTGAGTGGTGGTACTAGTGCTGAAGCTAAGGTCCAGGCCTCTACTTCAGGTCCAGCCTCAGCACCATTCCAAGTGGTGCTGTTCAGGAAGGTCCAGATGCGGAATGTGACAACTCGCCATGGCCAAGTTGCCATAGGACAACTTGTTGGTTTTTATCTGCCCTTGGCCATGGAAGCTCAGTGGATGATTTGGGGCGGTCTGTCTGTCTGTCTGTCTCTGTCTCTCTCTCTCTCTCTCTGTCTGTCTGTCTCTCTTTCTCTCTCTCTCTCATAGAGCAAGTGCTACGTATGCAACCTGAACTAATACATAAAAATAAGATATATAGATCAAACAAACAAATGAATACTGGGGAAGGTAGATTGGTGAGCTGTTTAGATTTTTACAAATTCTTTTTTATGAATGGTGTCCAGTGATATTCATTCCTAAAACAGCTGGATGGTTATCCAAGATCATATAGTAATCAACTTAATAGTTTTCTTCAACAAACAACTGGGGAAGAATATGAAATCATGATTTGTACAGTAGAAGCTTTTAACCATGGATTCTTGTGAATTTATACTTATTCAAAATTGCTTGCATACATAAAGACTAATCTTTACTGATATTAATAGACATTTGGGAAATATCAGTCTTTAAATTACTGTAAATCATCCTGGTTAAGGAGTTGGATTTAACTGTAAATATTTCAGCCTTAAGAAGGAGGCAATGATAAGCTTCTGAAAAACTTGGCCAAGAAAATTGTAGGGACTTGCAACAACAGGGAAAAAAATCCAGGTTCACTTGTTCATGTAACTTATTGGGGGACTATTCAGATTAATCTAGCTCACAGGACTGCTATTGTGGAAATAAAATAAGGAGAAGCTTATTGCGCTTTGTTCCCAGAGAAAAAAAAAATGTTAGAGCAAATAAACCATCTATTACAGAGCCCTATACATTTCCTATCTCACATTGGAATTCAATTCTTCTTCAACCCACAAAAATATGTACCGGTAACACACTGCAAGTTAACTGCAAGTTAACAGTAGTAGACAAAATGCTGACACTAAAATTTAATTTTAGATACCAGCAGTACTATATATTGTTAAAGCTGTTTGTTCAGTCTGTATATTTTCTGAGGTTTTTTTCCATTAAATATGGCACTTACATCTGACAATTTTGCAGAAATGTGAAATAAGTTAGCACAGAGGAGCAGAAGACTCATGCAAAAAGTAGTGAAACATGCTTAGAAAAGCATAATCAGATATCTAAGCCTAATAATTATTTCTAATCTATACAATAAACATTTTAAGAGTTTAATGTTACTGTATTATAATCTGTTCAAGAATCCTGTAAGGTTAGCAATATTATCCTTGTATCAAAAAAGGATCACAAGAGTGTGTGATAAAAAGGTTTCTCTAAATTCATCTATTAAGCTTTAAATCAATAATAAGGTTAGAATTCATTGTTGTTCCTTGTGGCTAGAAACAATGGAACTTAAGAAATGTTAATGATTTTAGAGTTGACAGTTATTTCATTCCATTCTTCCATAAACAGTTTTATAGTCAAAACAACAAAGAGTCGTGCTAGACTAATAGATTTATTTATTGTATAACTTTTCATGGATCAAATGAAGTGATTCATTTATTGCACACATTGGGAAGGAGTGGGCTGCCTGAAAACAGAAAAATGTTACCTGTGACTATCAAAATCAAGAGACTTTCTTCTTCTTTGGTGGACTGTCACGTAAACAGCTTAGGCAGATAACTGGTTACAGAAAAAAGGGAAAAATAAATTCCTTAGAATCAGGAGTAAAGGAAATAAAGGAGTAGAGTTTGATTAATTATGTTAGTATACTTAGATTTTGATAGTGTATATCAGTGGTGGGTTTCAAATTTTTTTAGAACCTCTTCTGTAGGTGTTGCCTGCTTTGTGGGAGTGGCTTGGTGGCCATGTGACCAGGTGGAAGTGGCTTGCCGGCCATGTGACTGAGTAGGAGTGGCTTGCCAGCCATGTGACTGGGTGGGCGTGGCCAACTTGTAAAATGTGGTGAAACTCACTTAGCAACGCTCTTGCTTAGCAACCAAAATGTTGGCTCAGAAACTCTGGCATTTGAAGCATGCAAGTCTTAAAGCTGTCAAGTTACAAGACCCCTTGCACCCCTAACCCTTTAGGAAAAAAACCTCCAGGGGTGTTCAACCTTGACAGCTTTAAGACTTGTGGACTTCAACTCCCAGAATTCCTCCTCTCACTCTTCATCTTGATGATATGCAGACGGGCGGGGGGGAGGGAGCTGGAACCGGTTCTAAATGGCACTGTAGATTTGTGGAACCTCTTCTATAGAAGAGGTTAGAACTGGCAGGAACCCACCCCTGATATACTTACATATATTATATTGAAACTCACACAACGATGGTTCAGACAAAGACTCAGACAAAACAGCCATCAGCAGGCACACTGGCATAAACAATACAAGTAGTTTTTAACTTACAAACAGTTTGTTTAGTGACTGTTTGAAGTTACAATGGCACTAAAAAAAGTGACATGACCATTTTTCATACAACCGTTGTATCATCCCCATGATCACATGATCAAAATTCTGATTCCTGGACAATTGACTCATATTTATGACAATTGCAGTGCCCCAGGGTGATGTGATCACCTTTTAAGATCTTCTGATAAGCAAAGTCAATGGGGAAGCCAGATTCACTTAATAACCATGTTACTAATTTAACAACTGCTGGGATTCACTTAACAATTGTGGCAAGAAAGTGGTAAAATGGGGAAAAAATTGGGAAAATACATGAGAAATCTCATTGGAAATGAAAATTAGACTATGGTTAGGGTCAAGGTTAGGCTAGGATTAGGTCTCCTTGGAATCAGCTCACAAAACTGATGTTAGGGATACACTCTAAAAGGTCCTGTAAAGAAAGTAAGGAACTTTTTGTTCAGACCTGTTTGAGGGCCATAATAAAATACATGGGAAAATCCTATTACCAATGAAAATTGGATAAGGATAAAAGTTAGGGTTAGGGTTATGTCTCCTTATAGTCTGGGCTGAAAACTGGTGTCAGGATAGGATTCTTAGAAGTTCGCTAATGAAAGTACAGGTGACAACTTTTTATTTGGACTTGTTTGTGGACCACAGTAAAATACATGGGAAAATCCCATTGCCAATTAAAATTAAGCTTAATACTAATTCTAACCCTAACCCTACATTCATTTTCATTGGCAATGGGATTTGTACATGCTTTTTATGATGGTCCACAAACAATTCTGAACTAAAAGCTGCCAAGTCTCTTTGTTCTAGAAAATCGCTAAGTATCTGTTCCTAGCATTACTTTTCAGTGATATCTCCAAGTAGTTAATCCCAATACTAATCCTACCTCTAACCCTAATCTTACCCCTAACCCTAGATTCATTTTCATTGGCAATGGGATTTTCCCATATATTTTACAGTGGTCCACAAACTATTTTGAATAAAAAGTAGTCAATATCTCTTTTCTTAGAAAACTGCTAAAAATCTATCCCTAGCAAGTAGACTTAACCCTGATTTCAGTAATAGATTCTTAAAGATTTTCTAAGGAAACCGTAGGTGGCAACTTTTCTTTCTGACTTATTTTTGGACCACAGTAAAAGTAGAACTGTTACAAAAAAAGTAAAGAGAGTACCTACAGTAAGAGGTACTTTGGGTGCAATTCCAAAACTTCTAGAGCACCACTTGATCACCAGGAGCATTGACAAAATCATCATCAGTCAATTTCAGAAGGCAGCTTTAGTTGGAACAGTTTACATTGTGCAATAATATATTTAATACCATCAAAAAATATCTGTCTAACTCAGCTCCTTGGGAAAGACTTGCTAGATGGATAAAAATGCAAAAAAAAAAGCTCCTGGCTGAATGTGCTACCAACCATAATTATAGAAGAGGGGGAGGGAAGGAGGGGGATGATGATGAGGTCATCTTCCTTGGATATGATCAACATGTAACCAATGCTAACACACAAATTCATTGGAAAAAGAAGATTCTTCTGCAAGGCAAGGTCATGAGATGATTCTTGAAACAAACCCTTGTTTATTCTTATACCTTTATTTGAATTATGACTCTCTTGGTAATTAAACCGAATGAGTTTTAGCAGAATCTTAGCAACTTCTCAAAATACTTTGCAAGGCCAGACCTGGCTAGCATTTGGACAGAATACGCCTCAGGAAAGCCCAAAACTAAAAAAAAATCATAAAAAAGTAACAGTGAGAAACACTTTCTATGTTGATGGCAAAGAAACTACATGTTTGCACCCCTGTACTCATTGTGGGCCGAATCTCAAGGGCATACTAAAGGTGACTCTTAACATGTTTAAGTATTAACAAAAGATCTTTTAAAATGCAAATAATATCAGCAGTAAGGGGCCCCACACTGATAGAGCAGGTCTAGAAAGAGAACTGAATTATTTCCTCCCCTGCTGTGCTCCTGAAAGGAATAGTAGGAAATCCCCATGGCACAAAAAGATTAGATAGGCATGTCCAGGAAAAGAATCTTCTCTGTGCCATGTGCTAGAGAAATGGGAAGGCTTTGGTGCTTTCTTTCCAATTGAGAACAAAGTGTCCTTCTGAATGATTAAAGCTAGTTGGATAAGTGAATCATAGTTTCATTTGTTTTGAAAGCCATCTGTATCTGAAAGTATCATCTGAGGTGGAACCTGGATCCAAAGAGAAATAAAAACCTGGATTAATGTAGATAATATGATCTGGATGGTCTCCCAGACATATGCAAAAAATGTTAGGCTAGCATAAGTATCCCTTACCAGTTGTTTTTACTTCTGTTGCAAATGGGCAGAGTTACATCCACAATCAAACAGCAAACAATTTAACATCACTATTACTTATGCCACAATTGACTTTTCTAGTTGTGTTTTTTGGTTTTAATGGTTGAATAGACCTAAGTGATTATTTCAGTACAAGACCCTCTGACTAAACACTACGTTAAAGATGAAGCAGATTTCTTGCCAAATGTTTGCAATGCCTCGCATCAAGTTTGACTTCCTCCCTCCATAAATAATCTTACATGACATTAATCAGATTTACCAAGTAATTGAAGTGATAATTCCTCTCTCAGCACAGATTTAACTGGGTTTTAAACTTCCTGCAATGCAGAAAATATTGCATTTTTAAGTGAGGTCAGTTTGTAAAGAAAGGAAATAGCACACTTGAATTTTGAGTTTTGAATTAAAAATATTACAAATGAACAGGTATATTTCATTAATTAACATAGTCCTCTGAACTGCCATCTTTGAATTAAAACAAATGATTGTGCTAAGAGGATTAACTGTTTCTTTACTGGCTTGTCATATGTATTCCACAAGACAAATTCTATATAATAGATTTGTTGTGGAGATCAAGAAATGAAGTTTGGCAAGTATGTGTGTCTGGTGGCAGGAAATAATTAGAAGCTATATTACTATAAGGAAGATTATTATGAATTTAGGACTGTGTGCCAGCCCCGAAGGAAGATTAAGCAGACCCCTCCATCCATAATTAAATCTCAGTTAATCTACAACAGGGGTGTCAAACTGGTGGCTGCGGGCTGGATGTGTCACATGCAGGCCATGCCAACCTCAGCTCTGCAAATGGGAAAAATGTCACAAAATGTCACATGACAGCAACATGACACCACGAGTTTGATACCCGTGATCTACAACAAACTTCCCACTATAGAAACAATGCTTGGCGAAAACATCCTCACAGTGTAATACAATTATTGTAGGCCACTCAGAGTCAGTTGATTGAGTTGGGCTGCTATAGAAATTTAATGAATAAATAAATAAATAACAGTCCCAGGAAAGAAACTACAGTATAGAATAGTTCTGCTATAATTCCACTCCTGAATAGATACTGTATTGATCACTTTGCATCAAAGGAAAAAGGACATGGATATGTTAAAGACAATAATATAGTTAACATGCTATGTCTAGCTTATCTTAACAATAGTTTCTTGACTTAAGAACTTCACATATCACATTCAGTCATAAACCATGTTTCACACACTGAATCAGGTGCCACAGTCCACCTGATTGCATACTCCCTATTTTGGCTTGCAGTCTTCCTTGAAAAAGAAATGTTAATCAAACTTTCTCAGTTTTTAAAAAAATAACCTTTGATGCAATATTGATCAGGATATAGAGTCATTGTGGGGGGATCTATAGGGGATTAATACAGCAAGATGGCAGATAGAGCCTTATGATATGAACCCCACCAGTAGTGGGATTCAGTGGTGGGTTGCAATTTATTTTACTACCGTTTCGCTCATGCGTGCATGATCGCACAAGCACAGAAGTGTCCGGGCGGCTGGGTGGAGACTCCTGCCGCCGCCATTACCAGTTTTCCCAATCCAGGGTGAACCGGCAGCAGCCCACCTCTAGTGGGATTCAAATAATTTAACAATCGGTTCTCTGCCCTAATTATTTCTTTCAACAAACAGTTCACCAAACTGCTCAGAAAGTTCTCCCAAAGTGGTGCAAACTGGCTGAATCCAACCACTGAGCCCCACCTATGTGCACTTTCAAACAACAGTGCCAACTTGTCTGTATTAGTGGGATCTATGCTCCCTTAATCATGGAGTTCCATAACCTTTGGGTACTTTTGAAGTGATCTGTGTTGGCAGCAGATAACTGGTAATCAGTTACTTTTTTCTAGATCTATTTGGACTCTGAATGAGATGGGCGGCACATGAAGTAATAGATGATAGATAGATAGATAGATAGATAGATAGA